ACCACAGAATGGAGGACAGCCACACAATACTGGGAATTATGGCCTAGCCAAGTCAACATATATTTTGGGGGACATACAATTGAATCCATGACATTGCATTTCCCCAGACCTTCCATAATATTTCATAATTCTATTCAGTAACTGTTTATGGAATGAACACTGTCTTCTTTGACTTCTCAAAGTAAAAGTTACTCCTTTCTTTAGAGCTGTGGTTAGAACAGGACTTACTTGGCCTTTATAAAAATTATTAGGTACTGACTTCCGGTAAGATGGAGGAATAGGCAGATAAGTGACACAGACCCTCTTCAACAAAGAAAAGAAAAACCTATTGACAGAGGTACAGAAGATAATCCTGGAATCCTGAGCTTTGAGAGGAACTATAAAGAAGTGGATTAGGCACCAACTACTGGAAAAACCTGAACAAAAACAATGAGTACAGAGATGGTTGGAGCTGTGGACCGTCAGCTACTCTGATGAGACCAACAGCCTGAATATTTCCAAGTGGTGTTGGGACCTAAGAATTGACCTAAAAGATCAGTCCCGGTCACGAAGGGCTGCAGTGACAATTGCTCTGGTGGCCTGTGACTAGCAAGGGAAATAGCAACAAGGGAGACAACCTGAGCTGTGGACATTCTGCTGTCCGGAGGGCGCAGCCATTTTAATTGTTTACACGTGGCAGCCATTTTGGATATTTAAAGTGACCAAGGGCGCAGCCATTTTCAGTGTTTACAGGTGGCAGCCATTTTGGATTTTAAAGTGGCAGCATTCTCATTCGGATTCCAGTGACCTAAGAATAGGCTCTGTTTGCCAGGATCGGCAAGGACATACAAGAGGCTGACAAATGAAAAGAAACAGGTAGTGAGTATATAAGTGCTGTCAGCTAATGAATAGAGGCGCACAGCACAGTACCCTGCCTGTATAGTTGACATGCAAACAAAACAAAACGAAAATTGTGAGCAAGTCACTCCAACATACGACCACCAATTAAATATAAACACAAAAACGTCATAATGCCTTGGAGACAACAGAGAATCACAGTCCACACAAAGAAGCAAGATACAGCAGGAGAAACAAGGGACCAGGATACAGACCCAAAACACATCCCTGAGGAAGACACAGCATTGGAACTCCCTCATAAGGAATTCAAAAGAATTATATTTAGGTATCTTCAATGGATTGAGAGACAGACTAAGGAAAATGCAGACAAAACCCTAGAAGAATTTTGGAAGAAAATACAAGAACAAAATGACAAAATCAATGAAAAATTAGAAATGATTCTAAATCTACAGATAGAAATCCAGAAGATTGTCAGAATTGTCAAAAATAAATAACACATTGAAAGGGCAAAAGTAGAATTGATGCAATGGAAGACAGAATTAATGAGATTGAAGACAAATATCTGAATACTCTATGGAAAGGGATCAATCAGAAAAAAGATCAAAACAAAATGAAGAAAGCCTAAGGTTCATGTGGGAGACTATCAAAAGGAATAACCTACGTGTCATTGGAATTCCAGAACAGGAAGAGAAAAATGAAACCACTGAGAAAATTGTTCAAGATTTGTTGGAAGAGAATTTTCCTGGTATGATGAAAGATGAGAATATATCCATTCAGGAAGTCCAGCGAAGCCCAAACAGGATAGACCCCAAAAGAAAAACACCAAGACATATCATCATCAAACTCACCAAAACCAAAAACAAAGAATCATGAGAGCAACACAGGGAAAAATGAATAGTTACCTACAAGGGGCAACCAATAAGATTAAGCTCCGATTTCTTGACAGAAACCATGCAGGTGAGAAGACAGTGGGATGATATATGTAAAACACTGAAAGAAAAAAATTTGCAACCAAGAATTATGTACCCAGCAAAATTGTCCCTCGAATATGGTGAAATTAGGACATTTCCAGATAAGCAGAAACTAAGGGAATTTGTTAAAACCAGACCAATCTTACAAGAGATGCTAAAGCCAGCCCTTTGGACAGAGAAGCAACAACAGCCAACAACAACTAACCATTAACACACATGATGATATAACCCAGAAACCAACCCAGCTGTGGAAGTATCCAAAGTAAATAAGCCTACAAGATTGTAAACAGGGAACCAGAGACACCAACTGACAAATGAGGACAACTGCAAACCAAAAAGAGGGAAAAAAAATCTGTGTCGTTACAGAACTTCTAGATGGTAGAGAAGTCAAGACAACTACAAGGTAGAATGGACTGTTCTAAACTTGGGAAGAAAACTATAAATCACAGGGTAACCTCAAAAAAAATGATAAAACTTCACATCAAAAGAAAAAAGATGGACCAGCATAAATATTCAGCAAATACTAAAACAATAGCAATGTAGGAAGTGATAACATGATTCATAAACAAAACAAGCCCACATAGAAAATTATATGGACCAAAGAAATTGACACAATGAAAAAGCACATGACGAAGCAACAAATTCATATTTGTTGATAATTACATATCTGGCAAGGGACTTATCTGTAAGATTGATGGAAAACTCTAATTTGTCAACACCAAGGAATTAATCCAATTGAAAAATGGGCAGAAGACATGAATAGATACTTCACCAAGGAGGATATTCAGGTGGTCAGCTAATACATGAAAAGATGCTCACAATCATTGGCCATCAGAGAGATGTAAATCAAAACAACAATGTGATATACCATCTCACCCCAGCACTGATGGCAAGGTTCAATGAGACAGAAAATAACAAATGCTGGTGGGGATGTGGAGAGATTGGGACTCTCATACACTGCTTGTGTGACTATGAGGTGACACAACCACTGTGGAAAGCAATATGGCAATTCCTTAGAAAGTTGGAATTGGAAATACCATTTGACCCAGCAATCCCATTACTAGGTATATATCCTAGAGAGGTGAGAGCCAGGATAGGAACAGATACATGCAAGCTCATGTTCATCACAACACTGTTTACAATAGCAAAAAGATGGAAACAACCTACGTGCCCATCAGCGGAAGACTAGATGACCAAACTATGGTACATACACATACTGGAATGCTATGCAGCACTAAGGAATAAAGTGGAATCTGCAAAACACTGCATAATATGGATGAACTTGGAGGACATTATGCTAAGTGAGATAAGTCAATTACAGAAGCACAAATATAATATTGGTTCGTTCTTGTCGAGGGTCAAGGAAAGGTTTATATATGGAGGGAAACTTTCTTTGTTGGTTGCCAGGGGTAGGAGGGGAGGAGAGGGAACACTGCAAAAAAAAAAAAAAGCATTGACCCATGTCACTTTAGTTTTGTGTATTTCACTGTGCATGAATTATATTTCAATAAAACGCATTAGTGGCCCTGGCCCACCAAGAAAAAAAAAAATTAGTAGGTACTGATTTCTCTTGTAGCTTTCTAGTTTATGAGTTACCTTTCTCTTGTGTGTGTGTGTGTGTGTGAGAGAGAGAGAGAGATTTGGGTGAAAGTTTAGAGAGCAAATTCATTTTCCATATAGCAGTTAATATACATTTTGTTTCATGACATTGACTGCAATTCCCCACAGTGTAACAGCTCTCTGCCCACTTCATCCCTGCAGTTACCTCTTCCCTGAGTCCTCCTTTTCTATGCATTCCTTCCCCCTGAGCTGTCTCCCTGTGCAAATACTTACCTTCTGTTCTTCCATGATTGATTGTTCTAAGGAGTGTATCTACCTGATGTAAATGTTCACCCTATATGCCTGTCTGTTGTTTGGCTGGAAGCCCCCAGAGTGACTTCAGTCCAGAACTGAAGGGTAACTAGAGGCCATAGTCTTGGTGACCTCACCATGCTCTTTCAGACCATTAAACCTGCTCTTTTTCATGATTTTGAGTTTTGTTCCACTTTGTTCTCCTACTCTATCCAGGATCTCCCACACTGATTCTTTTCCAAGTGGTTGACAGTGATACCTGGGCACCATCTAGTTCTTGTGGTCTCACAGTCATATAGGCTGACATTCACATGGTTCACTAGTCCCTTGGACTATTTATTTCCATGAGTCTTTGATTTTCTTCATTCTTCTTTGCTCTACCTTTCCTCTTTTTGAAGGAAGGAACTACATCCTGTGTAACTTTGTGCTTTGCAGTATGGCTGTTGTTATTGTTGTTAAGTGCCGTCAGGTTGGCTCCGACTCATAGCAACCTTATGTACAACAGAATGTAACACTGCCCAGACCTGTGCCAGCCTCACAATACTTGCTATACTTGCTATGAGCCCATCCTTGCAGCCACTGTGTCAGTCCATCTTGTTGAGGGCTTTCCCCTCTTTCGTTGATCCTCCACTTTACCAAGCATGACATCCTTCTCTAGAGAATCGTCATTTCTGACAACATGACCAAAGTAGGTGAGATGAAGTCTGGCCATTCTCGCTTCCAAGGAGCATTCCAGCTGCACGTCTGCCCTCAAAGAAGTGCAGCCAGAATGCAGTATAGCATATAAATTTAAATGTTAAAATATTGAATACTACTCTAATTTTATATTAAACTAGAAGCCCTGTATAATAGAATCCCAATTTCTCCACTGCTTGTGACCCATATCTCCCTGTGGTGTTCTCTCCTTATTCCACATCTCTTAGTGTAATTATTCCTATTGGCTTTTCCTTTTGGCTAACTTCTGGGCCTTCTCTTCACAATCTTCCATCTGGCTGTTGAGATGACTACTAAATTGAATGCTAATTCAGACCTGGATGCTCACTTAAAATTAAGAATATTATTCAGGTCAAAAGTTAAGATTCACTGGATTGTGACAACCTGTGCCTTTATTTCCAATCTTTAAACTACCTGTTGGTTCTCAGCTTACTGTGGGATGGTCTTTTTTGATTTTTTAGTATGTTTTGTTTTTGATTCTTTTAGGTAATGTTTTAGGATTGACCTAAGAACTTGCAGTATTTCCCCCATAATTTTATATATTTTGTTGTTTACTCTTAGTTTATCATTTATACAAAAGGTTGAAGAAACTTGAGTATGAAAATAAATTTAATTTTCTTTCCACAGTGACATTGTGAGGAAGATTGACCAGTCTGAATTTGAAGGTTTCGAGTATATCAATCCTCTTTTGATGTCTGCAGAAGAATGTGTCTGATCCTCATTTGCCAACTATGCATTTTGCTTGTGTTGCCATTTAATGCATGGGTAAACATGCTACCAGCCTGGGGACAGTGGTCTAGATTTAAAAACTAACAAGTTTACCTTTGCCACCTATGTAAAAGCACTCAGTATCTTCTATTGTTGACTATGAGTCAGTTATTACATCTGAGTTTAACTATGAGAGGGAAAAAAAGCTAGTTCCCAGACAATCTGTCATGTTAAAATTTAGTTGTACTGCTTCTTCAGTGACCTACTTAAGAATTATGAACTTACCTGTTTTGTTTAAAGGAAATACTTGCCACTGCTTTAAAAGAAGTATATGTTGCATTGAGGCCTGTGGTGGGATTGCATCATAAGCCTCTTACAGTAAGTCATTAAGTATTTAATTTTGGAATAAAATATTAATTCAAAAATGCCTTTTTATGTTATCCATTAGTTCTCAAGTTCTTTATATTTAAAAATTCAGCTGGAAATTTTATCACTGCCCAGGATAATTAAGTTATTGTTTTTAGGATAACAATTATTAAATTGATATTAAAAGATGTTACTTGCATGGAATTGGAGAACACAGATTGTCTTTGAGTGAAAAAATAAACACATTTTCTTAAGATTCAAATTCTAAGTCATTAGCTATTTTTAAGAAGCTTGCACAAGTGGTTTATTAGTTTATTAAGGGAGTAGCTTGTGAGCTTGTTCCTTTAACCAGAACTTAACTTGGAAAGGTAATAAATGTGGCTCAGAGGACTCAGGATGCAGTTGAATGAAAATTTATCAGTATATGGAAAGGAAAAATAGAAATTTAAAATAGATACATAAAAGTATCATGGTGCTCTTTATTTCCTATTGGAGAGGAAATTCCACAGTTGTTTTATGTAACATGATTTACATAATGAGGAGCCACTCTCTTGTTACCAATCTGTACAAGCATATATATTCAGTGGAGGCAGAACCGATATTTTTTCCTCATATACAGGAAAAGTGTTTATGTTCTGAGTATCTTAACTACACGCAAAAACAACACATCATCCATACTTTGGGGCCCTATTTGTGTTTCATCAACATTTAAGAAAAATAATAAATGTGACTAAAGTACAGTTGTTCAATCTTATTGAAATTAAATTTTAGGGAAGTCTATCTAGTCTTAAATTCAGAATGATTTAAAAATTATGGGCATTTTCACATTATCCTTTTTCTTGTTTTGAAGCTACATTTTGTTAGAAATGTTAAGTTTTTCAAAGTTTCAGGCCATGTATTCTCTTTTCTTCAAATAACTAGATCTGAAAGCAATGAAAACCTAAAGGAAAATGTTTATCTATAAGCACATGTTCCTTTGAAAGGTATATACACGTTTCTTTTAATACCTGAAATTTGTTTTACAACTGAAAGCAGTACTGACATCAAATCATAAACTTACAGAGAATTTTAACATCTTACGTCAGAAATATGTTTATGATCGTGCTTTTAAGTGATGTTGTTTCTCCTAGGGCATTACTTCACAGATTGTGGAATGTGGAATAAATCACCTAGGCAGTTTGTTGAAAGTGCACACTGGACCCACTTTAGAATGCCAATGCGCCTTTAGACCTCATTTTAAGAAACACTTCTGTAGAGTTATTTTTTCTTTGTTCTGTGGTTAAATATTATAAAGAATATTCATGATAAAATATTTTGAGGAGGAATAAGTTGAGTTACTTCTTAAACAGACTTTGAATGAATGACTTCTTCAAGTTGGTTTTCTTCTCAAATTGAAAAAAAAAATCAGTTTTCTACTGATGTTCTCATGTTACAAATGATGATCATTTTTCTATGATAAGATTTTAACCATTCACATTGCTTTTTTGTTTTAAAATCTTTTTTTAACTAATAAGATTTAATGTGTATATTTTATAAAGAATTACATTACAAATATGTTTTTAATTGTATTTTGTTTTTGCAGTCTTTAAGTGCCATTCCATTTCTTTGTATATGATATAGAAGTTTTCTCAAAATACTCAGCAGGGGAGTAAGACAATGTTAGTCAGAATGGTTAGGATTTCAGTATTCTAAGAAAAAAATGTATTTTGCATATGCATGATATTTGTGGTCAGATGATGTTATGTGTATGCAGCCTGGATTAGGTATCAGGTATTATGCTTGTTTAGAACTGGTACGTTTGCATTTTTTTATTTTTTGTTTTTATTTTGTCATGTAGAATACTGCCCTGGTCATTATAATGTAATCTGTATTTACTTTTTTTTTTTTTTTTACTTTAAATTCTTTAAATAAAATGTTTACTGTCCATCTAGAGTGGAGCATTTTTAATATTACTTCAAAACCAAAAAACCAAACCCACTGCCATCAAGTTGATTGTGACTCATACCAACCCCCATTGAGTTTCTGAGGCAGTAAATCTTCACAGAAGTAGATTGTCCAGTCTTGCTTCCACTTAATATTTAGTGTATCAAAAGTTTGTATAAGAACAAAGTTACATCAAAATTTGTTTAAGAAGAAAAGTGAAAATTTTAGAGTTTGGAATTTTGTACTTCTGGTAGTGTTGATACTATATTGTAGACATTCACTCATAAATTAAAATATTCTCCAGTGTAATTTTAATCTCACCTTCCCATGCATCTTTTCTAGTGGGAAGCAAATGTAAGAAAGCAGCCACACACATAGAATATTCACTGGTTTTAAAACTGAGGCAAATTTAAACAACTTCAGAACAATTTAAACAAGCTCTATTTTCAGTTAGATTGTACAGCTATCTGTTGTACTCTAGAGTTCAGCAGGCTTTCAGCTATAGCTTGTGTACATAAGCAGTTCTAAGCTTAGTGTGCTGTGCTTACCAGCCACCTTTCCCATAACTCATTATTTTCTTCCCTTCACAAGGAGAGGAAATCTAAAGTACCTTTACTTTTTCTTAATTGACCTTTCAGAGAGAAATGGCCTGCACATTAAACCACCTGAAAACTGATCTGCATTTTCTGTATTATTTTCTCCTAATCTCAACTCCAGCATTAATGAAATGCTGTCCAGGCTTCTTGTACCAAATCATAAATTGTGGTTGTTTTCTTTAGTAAAGTCCCAAAACAAAGCCCAAAGAGGAGCTTGAAGCTTTAGGGACAGTTTGCATTAAGGCAGTTAGTCACTGGGGCAACTATGAAATTCAACAGTTTGGATTCTGGACAACACCTAGCAGTGAGCCATAAGGTATATTTGATGGTCCTCTTTCATAGGTTTACCTTCTTCTGCTCTGGACTTAAGGAATCACTCAAAACCTTGATGGTCTGTGTAGGTTTGTATCCGTAGTTAATTGTTTCTGACTTTACTGGAGTTGGGGTAAATTTCTGTTTTACAGATATTTCCAACATCCTCAATCTTTACAGACAATCTTTATCTCACTATCATGAAATCCTTGCTTAAATATCTGCCTCACTATTTTACTCTGCAAAGTGCTAGATCAAATAAAAAGACTCTTCCCTTGACATTCAAGATAAAGAATAGACATACTGAAAATGATACTTATCTTCACAACAGTCTAGTGATAATGCCAAATAAATGCTGTGTGGTCATTAATGGAACTTGTATATTATTATTATTATTTTACAATTGTGGTAGAATATGAAAGCTTTCTGAATTCACATATACACTATGAAATATTAGATGCCCGTACATACATAGGGAGTTCTAGTGGTGTAGTGCCTAGGGCATTTGACTGCTAACCAGAAGGTTGGAGGTTCAAACCCACCAGGCACTCCTTGGAAGGAAGATGGGACAGGCTACGTCCATAAAGGTTTAACTGCTCAGAAACCCAAACGGGGGTCGCTATGAGTCAGGATTGACTTGATGGCAGTGAGTATTTTTTTCTTTTTTTTTTAAGGAGCTCTGGTGGCACAGTGCCTAAAGCGTTTGACTGCTAACCAGAAGGTTGATGGTAGAAACCATCAGCTGCTCCATGGAAGGAAGAGGGGGCAATCTACTTCCATAAAGATTTACTGCCTCCAAAACACAATGAGGGTTGCTGTGAATTGGAATCTACTCCATGGCAGCGAATTTGGTTTTTGGTAGTGCTGTAGTGGTTAAGGCATTAGGCTACTAACCAGAAATTCAGTGTTTGAACCTACCAGCTGCTCCATGGAGAAAAGTTGAGACAGTTGCATCTGCAAAGATGTACAGCCTTGGAAACCCATTGGGGGTCACTGTGAGTCAGAATCAACTCGATGTCAGTGAGTTTTTGGTTATATATGTATAAAACCAAAAAAACCAAACTCATTGCCGTTGAGTTGACCCTCCTTGGGTTTCTGAGGCAGTATCCCTATGGAAGTAGATTGCCCAATCTTCTTTCCAAGGAGTTGCTGGTGGGTTTGAAGGCCAGCCTTCTGGTTAGCAGTCAAATGCCTTAGGCACTATGCCACCAGAGCTCCCATATATGTATATGTAAAATAAATCCATTGCTGGTGAGTCAGTTCTGATGCATAGCGACCCTATAGGACAGAGTAGAACTGCCCCATAGGGTTTCCAAAGCTGTAAATCTTTACAGAAGTGAACTGCAACATAGTTATTCCCTGGAGGGGCTGGTGGGTCCAACTTCAAGTTTTAGCAGCCTAATACATATATACACACACACATACACATTACGAAGAAGATTTTTTTTGGCTTTTGTGCTGAGAAATAATTGAGTTTTACATGGGAAAGCAAGAGAAAAGTGTCAGACGCTTCTGCTTAGATCTTACACAGTCCATCTCTGAAATTTATCATTAAAATTTGTTCAGCTCGGATTTCAAGTTGTAGATGTGAAATGTAACGGTGCGACTGACCTTCATGTAGCTACTTGTGCCTTACTGGCATTAGCATTGTATTTTTATTCCAAAATTTTAATGGTTTTGTAAAAAACTGAAATTTCAAGTATGTAAGAATTAAATGGCTCTTTTGTATGATCTTTTACAGGACATATGAATGTTTAAGCCCATGCCAGATAGATTCACAACTTGAGTGAACATTAGCTCAAGTTTTTAT